TATTATATAAGATAGTGTAATCTCAAGGTTTTAAACCTTGTTATGCTTTCCTATGAGCCTAATGGCCCATTTCTTATTCACATAATCTAATTTAATCATATCAATTACTTGGCCCATGAAGCTTTAATTAATGTGATTAAAATTGGTCCAACATTAAGTTACGAATTTGTTGCTAGTCTTTTAAGGAATTACCCGTTTCTTGAAGATTTGGTTGTAAACCAAACCAAAGATGACAATGTGATGATATTCAATATCAATGTGCCTACTTTGAGGAGGTTATCTATCGATAACTTGAAAGGGAAACGAGCCCACGTTGAGCAGATTCATGGGTTTGTGATACAAGCTCCTTCTTTGTGGAGCTTGAACATTAAGGATACATTTAGTAACTCTATAATTTTTAAAGATATGCCTAAGGTGGTGATGGCGAAGATCGAGGTTACTTGTGGCCAATCTAAAAAGTTCATTTGATCTCTAACCTCGATCAAATTTCTTTCTCTCTGTTCTCAAACTTCAAAGGTAAACTCTTACTCCAGTAATGTCAAGGAGTTCGTTCTCCTTTTATATAATTTTTTATTCTTCTTGTTACAGTAAATAATATATGTTTCAAATTGCAGACTCCATAACCTAGAGGCACTATCTTCCTCTTTCTTCTACATCTAGAGCTATGTACATTTGTGGGATGGTGGAATCTACTTGGTCGTATACTCAATGACGCTCCAAGACTAGTATCTCTCAAGCTTAACTCGGTATGTTGTATGCAACTTTTTTTTTGCTTATATAGATCGTTTTAAAAAGTGGTAAAACTAAAAATAAGCAAAAAAAAAGATTATTGGAATGAGACTCTATGCACGTTGGAAATACCTATGTAGTAATGTACTTGCATAGAAATCCATGAAACTGTGTGTAATACACGTTAAAATATGGTGAATTTGAATCAGAAAGTGAATTCATTTCCAGCTCGTAATAATTCCGTACCCAAATCCAATACATGGGTTTTTAATTTTTAAGTCAAGCGTATAATTATGCAAACCTCTAATTGCTAGAGTTGTCGGATTGGAAAACGACTTTTTTGGACCAAAAGTATTGTCATCGGAGCTTTTTTGACCTGAACTTTTAATATTGGCCAATTTAAACTTGAATCTCAAATTAATTCAAATTTAATACCTAAATATACGATTTTATTGTTGATTTAAGCTTTGACCAAGTCACTATTGGTCAACGTTAATGGGGCAGTGACATGGACGACACGTAGACAAAGAAAACAATCTTTTTGGACCAGAACTATTGTCATCAGGCCTTTTTGGACCTGATCTTTTAACATTGGCCAATTTAAACCAGAACCTCAAATTAATTCAAATTAATTCGATGCAATATTAATTTTTATTTTAAAAAAAATTAATAAATAGACTTCATAATTCTAAATAAAAATCTAGAATTAGAATTAAAAATTAAATTTAAATTTGATAAATATAAAATTATAAATTTGAAATTTAAACTGAAATTAAATTTTTTTTTATCAAGTTCTAATTACTAATCTGAATTCTAAATTCCATACTTAAATATCTAATTTTCAATCCTAATTTTATCAAGTTCTAATTTCCAATCTTAATTCTATATTCCAAACCTAAATATCTAATTGTCAATCCTAATTTTATCAAGTTTAATTTTTAATCTTAATTCTAAATTCCATCTAAATAATAATTTTCAATTTTAGTTCTAAATTTCATATCTAAATATCTAATTTTCAATCCTAATTTAAATATTAAATTTAAATTAATTTGAAATTCAAGTTTAAATTGATCAATGTTAATTACATCTAAAACGGTCCTAGGATACTTGTGGTCCAAAAAGCCGTTTTCCCGTTGTTGGACACCAATCAATTAAAATATTTACTTTTTATATTCCTTTATCAAGATACGTAATGATAAAATAGAATCTTGACCACAAAGTAAAAGGGAATAATAACACCCAGATCTGTCATAATAATTCTATTAAACAACTCAACAATAAACACGTGGCAATCGACGATAGGCTAATCGCCAACCCATCCCACCGACGGATACTATCGACGCCGGACTCAGCTCCACCACTGGTTTCACTCCGACGACTCGCCTGCGAACCACCGTCTCCGTTTGGATTTCCACCGTATAAATGCTGTATCCCTTCTATATCATCCTTCGCTAACTCCACTTTCCGATCTCCACCGGCAATCGCCGGATACATGATAGCATTTTCCACGGACGAGTGCCCTAACCCAAGAAGATGTCCGATCTCATGAACCGCCACAGATTCCAGATCCACCACCGACGTTACCGGCAATATCCCACGGCTGATTTCTCCTTCAGAGATCAACCAATCCTCATCGCCGTCGAGATGAAACATCCCCGTCGGTGGCGACGACGCGTGCGCTAGTGTCCCCATCGCACCATCGAACGGCTCTCCGTCTCCGTGTTCACCGGCGAAAAAACCGATCACTATATCGGCGCGGAGGATAGATTCCGATCTCGTGAAGTTAAGTGGAGTAACCTCCGACCAGCGCGTGAAGGCGCGTGCGAACACGCGTTTCACTTCGTCGGTGAGATTGTTCTGCGGCACGAACGCGTAAGTCAGATCTCGTTTCCGACTCGGCCACCGTGGCTTCCCTGGGAAAAACGAGTAACGCTCCGTCGTACGGAGTTTCTTACCGGCGTTCATCTCAGAAGTACCGTCGATCATATCCGGATTCCCGCATCTCGGTTTAACGATCTGCCGGAGAGTCGAAGCGTCGAGATTACCGGTGACTTTGAGGTTGAAATTCTTCTGGTAAGTGTTGATTGCCGATTGAAGCACGTCATCGAAGTCGTCGGTGAAGTTATCTCCGGCGGTGGTGGTGGTTATGTAACCGAAACGATGGAAGTATTGTTTGAGTTTAGAGAGACCGTCGATTTTTTCTCCGACGTGACAACCGGTGAGTTTCTCAAAAGTTTCCCACGCGCTTCGAGTAGCGTTAAGGAAATGTAACGGTGGTATAGAAGAAACATTGGTGTAGAATTTTGCTGAGATTGGTTTCACTATGAGGAGGAGGAGGAGACATGAAATAGTTAACAGTTGCAGAAATCTCATTTTCCCGGAAAGTTTTTATAATTTCCTGGAAAATCGG